GGCAAGAAAGAAGTTGAATCAAAAAGGAAAAATTTAGCTAAAACAGGGGTTACATCAACCTCTGATTCTGAAGAAGAGGGAGATGATCAAGAAGGTGAAAAGGTAGAAAGTTTACATGAATAAAGTATTTGTTCTGGTTTTGAGTTTCTTACATAATTGTTGATCTTTACCTAGTAAACTTTTGATATTTTTATGAACATTAACTTGGATTTACCTTTTGAGTAGGCTTCCATATTAGCCACGTTAAAAAAAGCATATTTGAAACTTTACTGTATTTTCTTTTCTAAATTTATCTTACCTTCTCATGATTATGACCTGGAAATTAAATATGTATTTCTAATAATCTCACCAATTTAAAAAGGTCAGAAATAAGGCAAGTTATGATGACTGAAAACAAATTTAAGAGGTGTGTATGTGTATATACACACACACACACACACACACACATATGTATTTTTAAATGGCAATGAATTTATCTCCATGCCTACTTAGTGTATGTATTCTCAGGGATCTGTAACTTTATTTGGGTGCCATTGAATCTTATTTGGGAATCTCATTAAAACTGTGTCCTAATCTTAGATATGTATAGATCCAGGTCACATAGATACTTGATTTTTTCTGATTTTTGTGTTTTAATTTTTAGAAGCCAGAATTTTATTTTTTCATTTTTTTATTTTTTGCTACCAAGGATCGAACTCCAGTCCTTGCGCTTGCGCAGCAGGCAGCGAAACCACTGAGCTAAATCCCCAGCCCTGACACCAGAGTTTTAAATAGACTGAAGCATGTACTTGTCAGTACAAGTGAAAATCATTGTGTAGAGGGAAACAGCCTGGCATACTTTACCCATCACCTACAGCAGAGCAAGAAATGGACTATTAAATATAGAACCCTAAAGGAAAGTTAAGTTTGCAAAGTAGAGATGTAATTGAAACTAGTGTTTTTCTTCCAAGATTATACTTGCAATCAATAATCACTGACTTGATAGTTGACTAAATTCATCCTGACTTTTAAAACAGAAGAGAAAGGGTGGAAGGAACTTCCAGACTGCTCATAGGAGGAATATGCTGAAAGGCCAGCACGAGAAGGAAGCTGCAGACCGAAAACGCAAGCAAGAGGAACAAATGGAAACTGAGCAGTGAGTATTTTTTTTATTCTAAATTTTGGGTTCTCTTTTAAGGCTAGCATGCAATTCTTAAACAGTAGACTTCCATTTTTGATTTTATGCAGCGTTTTAAAGTAAACTTTCCTATGTTATAAAAATTTTCCATATATAATGATGTTGAGGATCATGTTTCAAGTTTTATTATTTTCTGAGAGGTTGAAATTCACTGAGGCAGTCATCCTGTGAATTGTTTTTCCATTTAAGTCGAAAGTGCATGTTTTAACTGTTAGTGGCTTTTCAGAAAATATCCTCTGCTATTTATTTGTCTGATGTATATACAGTCATAATATATTGGTGGAGGAAGAATGCAAGAAATACTTTTACCTGTCAGACCAGCAAGCCTGCCCCTAAAGAACAGCAGAAACAGCAAAAGCACAGTTGGAAACCCAGGAAGCCAGTAAAAGTAAATCCAAAGGCTAACAGGGTTTACATTCAGTGTGTACAATATAAGTCAATTCAGATCTGTTTTCCCTTAAAGTTTGATACTTGGATATTTACTTCCCATGGGGAATTTACCCTTCATTGTATAATTTTATTAATAGAAATCAACAATGGTAAATGATGACTAGATTTTGTCTTTATTACATTTGTTTTCCTAGTTACTTTTAGACTGTCCCTTCTGAATTTTCTCTGAAACATTTCATTCCTTGTGAAGTATCTTACCACTAAGTTTTTTTATTGTTATTTAGTCAGGAGCTAATTTTTAAAACATGCTAAGACAAGTTAATGATAATCAGTGAAACTTTTAAACAGTTCTTGAAGTTTTTCCTTTATACTACATCTGTAAGCTATCGCTGTAGGGCCAGCATTTACCTCAGCATCCTTAATTGTTTGGAGGATTTATGAGCAGTTTTAGCTGCTTGAGGGAGTAATTTAATATCTAAAGCTCACAAATGTTACTCCCAATGACTTTGAACATTTCTGTAAATATTTTTTGTTACGTATCCTTTTCTATCTTTTCAGTGGAAAGTTGTTGGACTGTTTGTTGCCTTTAATTTTATTGTGCTCCCAAAAATAAGATATAAAGTTAGTTGTTGCTTAGTAAATCAGCACAGTTCTTCTTTAGTATCTCAAAATTATCTTTATGTATTTCAGTTTCTTATGAATGTCCTCCAATGTAACTTTCTCAAATTCTAATATTTGTGTTTTCTTTCCTTCTCCTGTTATTACAAAACTTTGTACTTGGACAGTTTTGCTCTGTAAAGCATTTCAGATGCAACTTGTGTGAAATGCATTATGCAAAATAAAGTTTATTGTATTGTATTCCCAGCCAAACAACATGTAATCTACAGTAATAAAAAATATATCTCATTTTGGGCTCAAAGCATTAATCCAGTTACTGAAAAGAGAATACAAGTGGAGCAAACAAGAGATGAAGATCTTGAGACAGACTCATTGGACTGAATTTCCCCTTCCCCCCTTGATGGAAGAATGTTCCAGATTCTAAATTGAGGACTTCATTATTAATGGCATTGTTACTGTGTTCTGATTGTTAACAAAGTTTACTGTGAGGTACACACTACACACTAAGGTCAGCCATCATTCCTGTTAAGCTTTTTACTAAGCTTAAAATGAAGCTTTGTGTTTGAAAGTTATAACAAGCCTAGATGAAGATGGTGGTTGTACATTATTCATTTAGAAAATACAAAACTTCGTTTTGTTTTGAAGCTAGGTATTAATTGGAATAGCTATTATACCTGAGAGTGGAGCAGCTGTGCCCTTCCTTTGACATTCCTTTGTTGTTTAATTCTTTAGAATCTTGGTTTTTTTAATCCTGACAGATTAAGCAGTAGACTTGTTAAGAAAAAAAATGAAACTGTAACCAAAATTTTAAAATAAAGTTTTTTTTAAAAAAACCTGATTTTTAGATACTTTTGTTCTTGTCTATTTTAATTGGTTTATAATATGGCCTGAACTCCAAGCAAAGGTACTGCAAATTAAAATTTCAGTTTTAAATGGTTATTTTTGTGATTTGTAGTTAATGGTACCTTTTCATCTGTGAAATGGTATGGTAAATGTTAGTGGATGTCATTTGAAATACTGACCTCCCCCATTTAAAAAAAAAAATATCACAGTAGCATCTTATAACAGTCTAATTTTGAAGTTCGACTCCTTAAATTTAACTACACCTTGGACATGTGGCAAACAATTAAATTGGTCTATTTTGACATGCTTCTTTTAAAAATTATTGTGATGCAGAATCCATTAAACATTCATAGGCACTGTCTTTCCGTCAGGGCTTGTTTGCCCACTCCTTTGAAATTGAGCTTTTAAGAACAGTAGTGGCTGAAAGAAAAATTCCATTGTGACAGCGTCAAAATCATTTTCTGATGTCATTGAATATATTAGATTGTTATTTGGTATGTAGATTTTGAGTTTGCTTGTATTTATACTAATGCTGTGAAATAGGATAGTTCTAAAAACTATAGCCAGTACCTTTACAAAAGGGATTATTGTGGTCATCTAGTAATTAGTCACAGTGTTCCAATGTTTTGAAATATTTGTGTTAACATTTGATAGGCAGAATAAAGATGAAGGAAAGAAGCCAGAAGTTAAGAAAGTGGAGAAGAAGCGAGGTTAGTTTCTTTTTAAGATGTTTAAAGTATACCTAGAAAGTTATATAGACCATTTTTTATGATTGTTTTCAGAATCAGTCTCATCCTACAAATACTTTTTTTTTTTGGTACCGGGGATCGAACTCTGGACCTTGCGCTTGCAAGGCAGGCGGTGACACCACTGAGCTAAATCCCCAGCCCTTACAAATACTTTTTCAAATACTTCATGGATCCCATTTAAATTTCACTTGTTTATTTTTGTGTTACTGGGGGCTGGACCCAGGGTTTACACAGAGCTACGTCCCTAGCCCTTTCAAAAATTTTGAGACGGTCTTGGCAGAAGTGCTTGGATTGTGCTTGAACTTGTGATACTCCTGCCTTGGCTTCCCAGAGTCCTGGGATTAGGGGTGTGCATCACTACACCCGGCGCATCATAAGTTGCATTATATTTTAAGCATGATCAAGATGAAGTTGCTAAGGAAGTGTATTTATATTTAACATTATTTGATGATGTCACATTTTTATAACCCTTGCCAAAAGCTGGACACTTTCCCATTTTACAAGTCCTTAGGGGGTTAAATGTGTAAGGTAAAGGACTGGTGAGCAGAGAGGAGTTCATTACTGGATACAGACTTATTTGGGGAAAAAAATCCAGCTAGATGGTCAGTTTGTGCTTTTGCTGCATGTTGCTTTTCTAAACCTATTTTTCAAAGTATATAACTTGTTCTAGAGCTATTTTTCATCCACATAAGTTTCTTAAAGCCACTATTTCATTATACTTGCCTAGAGTTTTAGAAACTGGTTTTAGAAAGGGTATTTACTGTATTTCACATATTTTAATTTATAGAAACATCAATGGATTCTCGACTTCAAAGGATACATGCTGAAATTAAAAATTCACTCAAAATTGATAATCTTGTAAGTGTTTAACCTCCTTTAAAGATTCACATAATTTTATAAATATGTAAATGCTAAGGTAAAATGGACAACTACTAGTCTTTTTGTACTGCCTTGATTTTTAAAAAATTTTAGAAAAGTTTATATGCTGTGGTAATTAACAGTTATGAAATTACTGTTTTGTTGTGAAGGATGTGAACAGATGCATTGAGGCCTTGGATGAACTTGCTTCACTTCAGGTCACAATGCAGCAAGCTCAGAAACACACAGAGATGATTACAACCCTGAAAAAAGTAAGTTATTTCAGATCATTTGATTTTTTAAAAAACTTTGTTATTTCACTTAAAAATAAAACATACATAAGTCAAGTAGGGAAAGTTATAAATATATATTGTTTTCTCAGATACGACGATTCAAAGTTAGTCAAGTTATCATGGAAAAGTCTACAATGTTGTACAACAAATTTAAGAACATGTTTTTGGTTGGTGAAGGAGATTCTGTCATCACACAAGTGTTGAATAAATCTCTTGCTGAACAAAGACAGCATGAGGAAGCAAATAAAACCAAAGATCAAGGGAAGAAAGGGCCAAACAAAAAGCTAGAAAAGGAACAAACAGGTATGTGGTAATAAATTTGAGGCGATAAATTTGGTTTTGGTGATTTTGTCAATGGAGTTAAATGTTACTGCTGCAAAGAAAACACCTACTGTCTATGTGGTCAAAACCTGCAATGGCTTATTGAATCAGAACAGGATCCTTTCATAACAAATCATGTCAAGTTTGTGAAATCATGAGGTGGTGGGTTTTTTTTTTAAACATTAAAAACGATTTGTCAGTGAGGCAGATGATCCTGGATAAGTATTTCTGGAAGCCAACCAGAATGCTTAAGCCAGCCTGTATCCCCATAACATCCCACTTCTTGGTCCTTCTGATGTTTCTTCTCACCCCCAGCACCCATCACAGCTTTCAGTCCAAATGTAATATCAAAGATGGTGCCTGAAAGCTGCTGCTGTTGCTGATGGCTGGTACAAATAGTCTGAGGTCCTGCTATGCTTAGTTACCCTGAACACATCATCATTTTTTGTTGTTCAGTTTATGTATGAATAAGAAAGTGATTGCTTATGGGTAGCATATAAATGTAGTCAGGAATGATGGTAATGCCAAACCAACCACAGATCTCACCCAGGTGGCTGAGGTGTTGAGGTGTCTTTGCCCTCTGATGGCTGTGTACACAGACTTCTGCTTCAAACAAAATGATGGCAAGTATGGTGTTGAACTAACTTTAGGTTATATGTGTAAGGAGTATATGAAATCACTTGATTTCAGTCATTCAAAATAAGGGATTGTTTTGGTACCCATAAGCTTTCTGTGCTACCAATTCTGCAGATTATTTATTTACTTATGTATTTATTTTTGGTACCAGGGATCGAACTGGGGACCTTGTGCTTTCGAGGCAGGCGGCAGAACCACTAAGCTAAATCCCCAGCCCATCTGCAGATTATTTTAAAGCTAATCCTAAACATACCTTTTTACCCATTTAGGATATTTTATTTTTTTAATTACCTATTTTATTTTAGGAGACAGTTCTTGCTATGTGGTTCAGGCTGGCCTTAAACTCAAGGCAATCCTCCTGCCTCAGCCTCCTGAGTGCTAGGATTATAGGTGTGCACCACCTTGCACAGCAGTGAGAGATACCTTTTAAAAGGACTCTAAAAATCAGAATAGCGGTCCCAATTCCAAGTTAATAAACATCTTACTGGGCAGATGCTTTAAGGTGAAAACTAACATTTCAAAAGCAGTTGTTGGATTTTCTGCTCATTTAGTGTAGGGTATGATAGGTGATCTTAAAGATTGGTAATATTTATAGCAAAACCCGATTTATTTATTGACAAAATCACGTCAGGAACTACTTTTAACATGTTTTAAAATGCAGTAATGATAAATGCCAAGTAATTTCTTCTAAAAACCAAAAATTATCATGTGCTAAATAATCCTATTAATCATCTATTTCCTTTACCCACAAATACTTGCAGTAAACTTGCTCCTTACTGTGCCTAAGCTACTAAGGACTGTGGTGACTCAGAGTTGACAGTGGCTCTTTAATAAGACATCAAAGCCCAACCCTAAAATTCATGAGTGGGTTGAAATACAATATAATTTCAAATAATAAGACCTTTAAGTGTTAGAACTTGAGGTCCATGTTTTATTTTTAATCTTTTGAGGACATCTTATGAGCTCTAACAGAGGTTTTCCATTTGAATCCTAAAGGTTCAAAGACTCTAAATGGAGGCTCTGATGCTCAAGACAGTAATCAGCCACAGCACAATGGAGACAGCAGTGAAGAAAGCAAAGACAACCATGAGGCT